GCAGCATATCTGAAATAACGATTGGTCGTGTGGCTCCAGAGGAATGAAACAACCAGCAGGCTTGCTGACCTCAGGGGCTGCCTGCAGGAAAGCATTAGCACCTCAACAGTCTCTGAAGGCACGGAGCCCCTCCCCCCCATTGAGTTCAGCAACACTGTGCACGGCTTCCGTTGACACACAGCGTACGTACATGTAGTCCACGTACCATCGTACGCAAGGAAGTCAGGAGACAACATGTGGCTCTGACCACCAAGAAGAAGAGAAGCCTCCCTTTTAGGCTTTGGGCGTTTGAGACATTATGCTAACCTGTGAAAAGTTCTGCTCCAAGAACCATGTTTACCATGTGTCACATCAGGGTTTACAAGTGCATGACTCTTTAAACTGGTTTCAGAGAGCAGGGACCACGACGTGCACACTCTCACTTCACACTACTTCGGTGTGACACAAGTTTAAACTGCAAAACAATTAGAATCATGAGTTGGTGATATCAAAATTAAAACCAAGCTACAAGCTTCCACCCTGTCCTACCAAATAATTATTCCACTTACAAGCTCTGCCAGGACAGACAAGCATACTTGGGGGGGTCAAAGAATATCTGAACCTTTATTAATAGTCTCTACATAAAGGGGGGGCTTTGTTGAACAGCTATCACGTTTTTTTCTACCCACACAGGGGCCTTGCTCTTTGTAGGATGTGGCCTGCCCTCTATCACAGCCTCACTGAAAGAGACAGGCGTTTGCTGATTGATGATCTGTTTGCTCCCTCTTCATCTCACCATATGAGATGTGTTGTGTTGGCTAGCCCACATCAACATGTTACTCACACAAGCGAAGGGTGCTGGAGCCAGGCCGAAAAAGCACACTATGAATCTGCTGACAAATTACCGCCATTTATCAAGATCAGCAAGCTCTCTGTGAAGCCGCCCTCATCAATTTCCATTAACACACAGCATTAACAAAGACACGCTGCGCCGGGCCAGAAAGGAGAGCCGGAGAGAGCTGGGCCAGATCTCGACACTGTGGGTGTTTGCAGTGGACATGCACAACTGCTGTTTGAAGACACTTTTATTTATATACATTTATATATATGTATTCCCCATGAGTTAGATGAGCAAAGGTGAACACCACCCTTCATCTCACTTCATCATCAAACAGCTCCAGAAACTAAGCATACATCCTTATATGCCATTGGGGGTGGGGACTACAATAGTGCACCATGTCTGATGAGTCATGTTATAGTACGTAATAATAATAAATCATGTGCATGTGAGTGAAGCCAAAAAAAAAACACTGACAGAGGTGGAAGCTGCAGACAGAGGAAATAGAAGGGACCAACCCACAAGAGTGGGCAAGATATCGCGAGTTAAGAAATCAAGTAACTAAACTGAATAGGCACAAGAAGAAAGAATATTATCAACTTAAGCTCAAGGAGGCCAGTAAGGACAGCAAGAAGGTGTGGAAAGTTTTAAATAATATAATGGGTAGAGATTTTGCTCCGGTGGTGTCTCACATCTACACGGGTGGAACGTTTATAAGTAAAGCTAAGGACAATTAATTTGTGAATTATTACAGCAATAAAATAACAAATTTAAAATCTAATATGAGCAGAGGCGATCCCACCTTATCACGTCGTCTTATACAGGATGTTATCGTGAATAATAAGCAATGCCAATTTAAGTTTGAGGCAGTGAGTGTGGAGATGGTAGAGCGCTTATTGATATCACTTCCTGACGATACATCCTCCGGCTCTGATAACACAGACAGCAAACTGCAAGTTTGTGTCCCTTCCTATATGTCCCATATGTAATAGATCTTTGGCATGCAGCTTATTTCCATTGCAGTGGAAAGAATCGAAAATAATTCCCATCCCTAAAAACAAGAATGACGTTTTTAATGGTGTCAATAGCAGATCTATTAGTCTGCTCCCCGTTCTAAGTAAAATTATGGAGAGGGTTGTCTATGAACAAATTCAACATTACCTAACAGAAAATCAGTTACTCGCTCAGTTTCAACATGCCTACAAACCTGGTTATTCCACCAGCTCAGCTCTCAGTCACATGACAGATAACGGGTACAAATATCTAGATAATGGGAATTTGGCCGGGGTGGTATTTTTGGATTTTAGTGCTGCATTTGATTTGATAAATCATGATCATTTGATAGATAAACTAAAATGTTATGGGTTTTCACCAGCTGCTTTGTGCTGGATGGAAAGTTATTTGTCTGGAAGAAGGCAAAAGGTTTATTATAACGGTTATTTCTCGGAGGGCTGTGAAATGAACTGTGGTCCACCCCAAGGCAGCTGCCTCGGTCCACTTCTGTGTTCAGTCTTTACAAACGATCTGCCGTACGTCCTGGATAAATCTCATCTTGTAATGTCTGCTGATGACTCCACCGTGTTTTATTCAGCCAGTAGCTACTCTGAATTGACCAGCGTGTTACAACTAGATCTGCTGAACGTGTTTGACTGGATAAGTAAAAACAACGTGATTTTAAACGTGTTTAAATCCAAAGACATGTTAATAGGAAGTAGAGGACGCTTAGTCAACAGCCCACAACTAAATCTTTCCATAGCTGGATCGGTATTAGAACAGGTCACCCAGACTAAATTACTTGGTGTTACCATAAACCACCACCTTTCATGGTCTCAGCACATCAACTCTGTTATTAAGAAAATGGGACCGGGCATAGCTATAGCTAGGAAATGCTCCTTTTATATTACTTCTTCAATTATGAAAGATGTCATTAATGCACTAGTATTATCTCATCTAGAGTACTGCTCAATCATTTGGTCAGCAGCTAATAAGACAGATCTGAACGTCAGTTAGTCCAAAATAGGGCGGCCAGATTAGTGTTAAGGTGTTCATATTATACAAGTATTGATAAAATGTGCGGTAAACTTTCTTGGCTTTCTGTACAAGCTAAATTATACTATGACTTACTTGTATTTTTAAAGAAAGCAATACTGGTAAACACACCACACTTTTTTATGCTCAGTTGCAGCATCCAGATGAAATACATAATCATGCCACACGATTTTCAACTAACCACAATTTAGTGACTCCTCGAGTTAAAACTAACTTTCTGAAAAACTCTGTTATATTTAGAGCATCCTTTCAGTGGAATAAGTCGCCTTATGCAATTAGAGAACTGGCTTCTATTCATAATTTTAAAAATCACCTAAAAGCCTATTTAGGCAGTTTTTAATTTATTTGTAAATATTGTAGAGGGTAATGTCACTTGTAATGGAAATTGTGTATTTTGTTTGAGTGTTTTTTATATTTTTTAATATTTACATGCTTATATTTTCAGAATTGTAAAACCTTATTGTGGATGTAAGAGCCAAATTATGTGGATATTTTGCATCCAACTCATTGTGTAACATTTTATTTGGTGGTATTTGATGGTTTGGGCTCCAGGAAGACTAGCAACCCCTGTTGTGGAAGCTAATGGGGTTCCTTAAACAAATAAACAAACCTAAGTGTGGTAAACCCTACAGATCCCATGTGGTGTGGATAGAAAGAAGAGGATGGAGACGAAGGCTACGATAATAGAAGAAGCCAGAGCAGAGGTCATAAAAGTTGTGATTCAAACTGGGCTTTTTCTCCTTCAAGCTGCTGGAGAGGCGATGGTCTCCACTCATATAACCATAAACCATGACCACTTCTAGACTGTTAAAGTTCAGACAGCTTTGGCATAACTCCATTTACTTGACATTGCAAAGGCCTGTGACGCATTTATGGCCCCTTATTTAATTCTTAAAGGAGGAAAATCTTAGTGCAAGCCTTCATAATGCACCTAATGACAGGACCGTTATCTTATTTTGGAAACATCTAACTTGAAACTTTCCAAATATATATTTATTTAGACAAAACTGGGGGTAATTACACGATCGGTAAACAGAGGGTTTCCCCTCGGGGAAGCCCTGGTGATTCTGTAAGTGCTGTTTACGTTCTACCACATTTAAATATAAATGCAGAACAACAAGCCTGTTTGTCAACAGATGCAGCCGGCCCTTATGTCTCAAGTTCCTAATTACTGAACCAGGGTTTCTCCCACCAACTAGCAACTTACTCAGCAAATTTTTGTCTCCCTCCTGTGGCGTAAAAATGCATTGCAATCCTTTTTACACTCCATATCCTCAAGTACCCCACTCACCACAAGACTGCCACAGACCTAATGGAAAGGTGATTAAAATCTGTAATTCAATAGTTTTATGTTGTCTGAGACCAACAGTGTTCACTCTGGGATGTATAAGTTACTACCAAGTTGCAGAGCTTCCCTCACAACGACTCTAAAATAAAACTGTTCCTCTGGCACCATCTGCTGGACAGCAAATACCCAAGTAAAACCCACAAAAGGCAAGTAAAACAACAGGAAATGTATTGAAAATATTTATGATAAAAGCAAGAAAGACCTATGTTGTTTTTGTAGTAGTAGTAGTAGTAGTAGTAGTAGTAGTAGTAGAAGAAGAAGAACCCGCCCCTCCCTGAGCCTGGTTCTGCTGGAGGTTTCTTCCTGTTAAAAGAGGTTTTTCCTTCCCACTGTCACCAAAGTGCTGCTCATAGGGGTCATGTGATTGTTGGGTTTTTTCTCTGTACGTATTATTGTGGGGTCAACCTTACAATATAAAGCGCCTTGAGACGACTGCTGTTGTGATTCAGTGCTGTATAAATAAAACTGAACGGCTCTATTTGTCAGCAGAAGATGCTCCCCATAAAAAGTGATTCACTACATTTGATTTAAGGCCAGCTCCATAAAATGAATATGAGATGCGACAATGCTGCACAGCTTGAATCTTACCTGAGCAGAGAAAAAACGCTGTACGAGTTCCTGACTGAACTCTGGTCAACCTGAAGCAGGCTGTTTTTCTTACGCTCCGACTGATCCTGAAACAGCCACATGTCTGAGTTTCAGCGCAGAAGCCAAACAACGTCGAAACAATGCTAACAAGATTTGAACTTGGTATTCTATTGTCATGCAAGAAGCTTTAGAAAACAGGCGAAAGGACATACCTTCTGATCAAAGTCAGCTGCATAATAGCCATCATTCAATCCAAATATGATCTCATTTGGATTTCTGGATCGAATCTGTGGACAAAGCAGGGCAGAAAAGGCTGATTGTACGGGGACAGAGTCTCAGAACAAAGGACGGCTGCATCTGGATGTGCATGAGACTGTGCTGTTTACCAACCTCCAATGCAGTCTGGATTTGAATAAATTGGAATAACATTGAGTTCTTCATCAGCATTTGAACTGCATTTACTATTTTGATGAAGGCTTTTCACGTAAAGAGCCAAACAGACAGCTAGATTCTGAAGCTCTAAATCACATTTTCACATGCAGACATTTCATATTACTACTGAATCAATGCAGCATGTGGCGCATTACACTAATGAGCAGCCTGCTACATAATCACTGGTTGTTTCCCTACCACTGACATATATGTGGCATGCACGGGAAAAGAGAATTGTATTGAAGACGATGAGGAAGAGAATTGCAATTTTCTTTGATTACTGTCAAAATATAAAGCACTAAGCATTTGTTACACTGATGGAAGTTATTTACAATCATGTAATGTAACGTATATACACGCTCAGTGCATTTTTAGATGATTTAACTCTGAGTGAAAGAACATTTGGTGTAACCGAATAAAAGAGTGAACTGACGCAACGACAGACAGTCACAATAATCATTTTACCTAATGTTAGCAACTAGATGACATTACAGTAAAATAGGCACCAATAAATGTATTCTATATGACTGAAAGTAATTTAGAAAGTTTAATGTTTGGGGACTTGTATTTCTAACCACAGTTTGTTTCTACTGCAGTTATTCACCTTTAATAATGTGCATGCAGTACTTAAACTTATTAGACCACATAGAGAAAAATATTGAACATATTTTAGAAAGTTTAAACTAAAATCATGTTGTTATTTATTAAGCAAATAAACTGAATTCATTTACTGTTACACCCAAGCACACTGGACTTCTTTGATGATTTTTTAAAAATGGAAATAAATCACTAACTCAGCATCTTAATAAAAAATAAATAAATGTTTCTTTTCTTAAACAGTAAATTTGAAAATTATTTTATAATAATAGTAACTATATTTTAGCATTAGAAATATCATTTTGATTAAAGAGTTTGCTCATAAATGCCAATTTAAATGACAGAAACATTAAAAAAATTATTTTGTAAATACTAAAACTGTTCATTCAGGCCAGCTGTGCCATAAATCTTACACCAACAATCAGTTTGTTAAGCACTGCATATAAGGCCCCTTTAAATTGACAGAAAGATTTCCATTTAGTGAACTACTTAGTTTTCATGTTCAAATATTTAGAAATTAAAACTCAAACGCAGATCCAGAGTTAAATGTTCAACTCCAAATATGGCTCACCCCACATTCACTCGCTCACAGCAGTGAGCATCACCTCAGCCTTGCTACCTTTGAACTAGATTCATCCACTTGTATAAATTCCAAGCAGATGAAAAATATTACATACACAGAACTGTGCAGCCGAGTCCAAGTGATCATTTTACACATAAACTTGCTAAGAGCACAGCAACAGCCCTGCTCATAACTACTGATATGTCATGAAGTAACGTTAACCGCATGGACAGAACGGAAATGCATGCATAGAAGGATTTAGAAGGATTTAATTACACATTCAGCTATTCAACATTTAACACATGTGTCAGATCATATCCAACAAATCCTTTGTAAAGATCAAAACTGTACTATTAGATTTTTGCAATAACAATTCACTTTTTCAAAAGCCACACAGAAAGCCTCAGGAAAAATTATATATTGTGTTGCTACTTTGTTGCTCTCGGGTGTGTTTGCTGACCTGCTGCCCCGTGTATCTGAGGCCGTCCAAATTAACCTTCCATTCGATGAGGAGCTGGTACTGTTCCTTCTGCCCTCCCCAGATTCTCACCACAAAGCAAGACACTGAGGTGTCCAGAAGGTCTGGGAGCATGCCAAAGTCCAGGCTCCGCCAAGTTGGATTCTAACAAAGATCCACAAACACACACATTTCAAAAGGAACAGCAGTCACATCCTAAATCTTTTCTACTTTCTGACTTTTTGTTGTTAATGGGAGGATAGGTTCAAGAGTTTGAAATAAAAATCTGAGAGCAAAATTTATGTTACCTCTTAAATCCATACAGTGATCCTTAACCACTGCAGAGTAACTGAATCATCCTGTTCTGCATTAACCTTAAAGTCTGATCCCCATTTCTGTTTGTAGTCTGTCCCTGAACGTTCAGAACGACAGCATGACCGCTGGTTCAGCGGCACACAACTGGAGTCATTTACATCATTTAACTATGTACCATTTCCCTTCATCATACAGAAAAATCTCTTTTTTCCCTGGGTAACTTTCATGGACAGGCAGGAGAGGAAGGCCAAAAGCAGAAGTACAATCCACAGGTGAAGATAAGAACTAGCATTAGAAGCAGAGGGGAATGAAAACAGGAAGAGCAACAGGAAACAGTTCCTTATATGAGCGATGACAGGAAGGAGATGGAATAGCCGAGAACGCCAGCACAGATGTTAAATAAAACAGGAGGAAGTTGTGCTGGGAGACGACAGGAGTCATGACTCCTGAAGTGCATTACACTGTCTGTCTGCTGAAGGCACTGACGAGTACGCCTGGAAAGCAGCTTAGGTCAGCTCATGGCTCGGCAGCAAGCCCAAACAGTAATTGTAATTGGCTACGTCTGTAGTTTTGTGCATAGCTGTGTCTGCATCACAAATAAAAGTGGAAATTTAAAAAAAAAACAAACACACAACGACGTGGTAATACGACACAGCACGGTCATTTGCACAGCTTAATGATGCATGCAGGCCAAAAGAAAAAGCTGTTTAAGAGAAACACGGATCAAATTTTATTCATGCCGACACACGCCTGATATTTTATTCAGCAAATCATGTTAAACAAGAGCTGGCTACATGTGTGACTGGCAAGAAGGGAACAGATAAATGCCAAGCTTAGCATTCATAAAATACAGCACTGCTTCACTGCTCGTAATGAGTACATTCTCCAACGGCAGGCTACAGGAAATGACAACATACTGGACCTATCCCAGGACGCGGAGAGGAAGCGTCTGAGGGTTAGTTTACTCACCAGTGAGTCTCGTATGACTTCACTCTTGTAAAAATCTAAGAAACATGAAAGAATGTTGATTAATGCACAATAAACAGGAGGAACTAAACCCTGAACATGTTTTGCTGAAGCTCAGCTGGACACCAGTTACACAAATCTATCACATACAAATTTTGCACTGACTGCATGTTCCAAAATCAGAGGAACGGTACAGTGTTAGTGCCACTTTCAAATGCATTTGCCTGAAATACTAAACTACAACTTGCTGCAAGTACAAAATAAATATAAATATGCGCACTGCCCATTTAACTTTATTTAAAAGCCTCTTGATAAAAAAAAAAAAAAAAAAAATTGTACAGGATAAACATGATCAGTAGTGTGTGAGAGGACGTTAACACCGACCTCTAGAAATGCGGTCTCCTATACAAAGGTGGAGGGTGAAGTACGTGTCCAGCAGTGGAGAGCCATTCCTGTTGACAATGTTTCTGGCTGCGATGCTCCGAAGATGACGCAACCGTCTCTGTTTGCCAGGAGGAAATAGAGAGGGAGAGAGACAATGAGAAATAGTGACGATTATTGATAACAGAGTTCTGTAACCAGCTTAATTTGGCTCATGTGATTGGTCAAATCTATCCCACATATAAAACAGCTTAAAATAGCCGTCCTTTCTCATGCACAGAGGCAGCATAAGTAATGGAGGCGTTACTCATCTTCATTGTAACATTATGTCAGTCATCAGTTACTTTTTAAATCAATCCAGCAACACTTTAAGACTGGATTGTTTGAAGTTTTTGAAGTCAAGGACTTTGTTAGTGAACAGTCTTTTCAATCTACTAAAAATCTCATGTCTTGATCTAAAAGATTCCTGGGAAATCTTTTAGATCAAGCGCTTTTCGAGACCCTCAAAGCACTTTACAATTCCACTATTCATTCACACACTGGTGGAGGCAGCTACGGTTGTAGCCACAGCTGTCCGGGGGCAGAATGACAGAAGCGAGGCTGCCATATCGCGCCATCGGCCCCTCTGGACGGCACATCCTACAGTCTAACCTTTCCCTTGAATGGCCGGCCCACCTCCTTCCTGCAGCCATAGCGAGGACAAATCTAAGTCATGGGATTTCCCAAAAGATTAACGACTTCAAAAACAAACAAATGATTGTTCTCCAGGGGACTTTTAACCCTCTCCTTATTAATTTTATAATGTACATTTCTCAACAGGAAACATGGACCACATGGAAAACAAAAATAAAACAGCAAAATTATTCAAAACAGCTCAAACATCAGAGTCCTCTCAGACTACGCTCGAACAGAAGAGCACTGCAAAGTTGACCGCATGTTATAAAATGACCATACAAGTCTGATGGTGACACGTGGCTTGTAATCTGGGTGACTAGGTGGTCACAAGCCTTCTGTTATTCATGAGCATGCAGACATTATTTTGGATCAGGCGTGGGTAACTCCAGGCCGCGAGGGCCGGCGTCCTGCAGGTTTTAGATGGGTATTTGATCCAACACAGCTGATTCAAATGGCTAAATTACCTCCACAACATGTCTTGAAGTTCTCCAGAGGCCTGGTGATGAACTCATCATTTGATTCAGGTGTGTTGACCCAGGGTGAGATCTAAAACCTGCAGGACACCGGCCCTCGAGACCTGGAGTTGCCCACCCCTGTTTTACAGAGTGGACTGACCAAACTAAAGCAGATACGACAGGTAGCCCTGATAAGAAAACACACTTGAATGCCAGTTTATTAAGTACAGACAGTTAAAACTGATGCCAACTTTATGCAAGAGGCTTCCAACAAATCCCCACTCTCATGCATTTAAAAATAAACGTAAGCTTTTTTCATATATATGTACTACAGCACTGAAAACTAAACCCAGACATGTACAGGTGAGAATGCAAATGTTCGAATAAGTGGGACAGGACAAATGGTCCTAAAAGCTCTTCTGATTGCCCAAGAAGTTTATGTAATGTGACATTTATGCATGAGAGGGTAGTGCAAATAAGTGTCAAGTTATTTCACAGCAAGCAAATTGGTATCATGTGTACTGCATACTGAGACAACTCCCACACATAAACCAAACTCAGTATTTCCAGTCATCTGAAGTGGATTATCTCCTCTTATTAACTACACGCAAGGGACCTTTTGGTCACACACATAAAAAAGTGTGACCGAAAAGTTCCTAGAATCTACGTGCCATATAAATCTAAAATGACTTAACTAAATTCAATTTTCCCTTCAAAGTTTTCATGTCATGCACTACTGGACCAGTTTCTGGACTGCTGCTAATTTAAACTCCCAAGTACCAGTTTTGCCCATGTGTACCGAGTGGGATGCAAATGCATGTAAGGTGGATTCATGGACCTCAAACTCCCCTGAATTTATGTCATGGATCATAGCTGCTGATGAGAGCTGAATCTCAGGTTATGGCCCAGAGATAAAGCGACAGTTTTCACTTAGTCCACAGTAGTCAACCCCGAAAACAGTGCATCAGGTCAAAGTGCATGCTTGTTGTTTGCTTTTCACAATTATAGTATATATACACATATACACACACACACACACAGTTTGTGGAGTACTCAAAGTATTCAAAACGGCTCAGTTAAAACATGTATTATCTAGCCTGAGATTAGCACTGATTATAACCTGTAAAGTGAGTCAGTGTTTACTCAGTAAACAAGTAAACCAGTAAGGTCACAGAGTTTCAAACTCCCTTCTAAACTGGAAAGATTGGTGCACATTTAAGAATTTAAATGTCATCCCATTACAATTTCGCATTAGCGTACCAATAAAGTAAGCTTCACTCATGCCACCAATAGGTCGACTGTCCCACCAGGAAATAGAAGATTCTGGTGCTATGGAACTGTCAAAGATGCCGACACTGATTCCGCTTCTAGGGGCGTCTGATCGTAGTGTGGTTTATCCTGTCTATGAGAGGCTACTGAGACACAAGAAAGACCCTACACTGACATGACAATGTGTGGCCGGGCTGCTTTGACTGCACTGTATGGGAGGTCTTTGAGAGTGCTGACATTAATGATCACACTACACATGTGACTGATTATATTCATTTCTGTGTGGACTCTGTGGTCCCAACCAAAAGGATTAAATGATGCGAATGACAACCCTTGGGTGTTAAACAAGTTCAAAGACCTTATAAGACAAAAATGCTTTCAGGAGCCACAATGATACAGCCGGAAGGGACCTTTAAAGACATTAAAAGACTGATTATGGCAGACAAGTACAAGTACAGTTAAAAGACAGAAGGCACTTTGTCATCAAGAAAGCCCAGAGATGCATTACTCTAACAACCAATGCCCCACATAAGGATAGGGGATAGGCTTCGCTTGACCTGCATGGTCGAATCTGAAGATTTTTAGATCATCTCAGTCTTGTGATACTAAATATTTAAATTTGGAAAGTATCCATAATTGTTCCTGTTCCTAAATCTCCTAGACCTTCAGGTCCCAAAGACTTTAGACCTGACCTTGCATCACTGGCCTTGTACATGGGATCATAAACTTGGCATCAAAGAGACCGCTGCAATTTGCCTACCAACCCCGTATGAGGGCGATTTATTGAACTATTTTACGTATTGCACACGCTACTTGTATTTGTGGCCATTTCCCCGCCTTTTAACTACGAGTTGGGTTAAAAAATTGATCTTTAATTGATGAAAATTGGTCTTTAAGTCTGACGTCATTAGCCGTTTCCAAGTCCAGATCTTATAAATGGGCTAAACTTCAGTCAGGAGAACAACTGAGATAATCCATCCACAATACCAGGTTAGTCATTAATATACTGCTGCATGGGCTGGAGTTACATCGTAAGGGTTTAAAAACGGAGCTTTAAAAGTAACAGTGGAAATAAAAACCGAGAGAGGCCAACAGTGATCACTGACTGTTTTAGGGGCTTGTTCAGATTAAATAGAACAAGATACAAAGCATTAAAACATGTTTAAAACACAACAGACTTATTAAACACAGAGTAGTTTGGACCCAGAAGCAGGATTCATCACATCATCACTTAAAAACCGGATTGTGATAAATAGCATGGAGGTATTCTATTGATATAGAGACGCCAAATCTCAGTATTATTTAAATAAAATACTCTGGGAATACTACAAACAAGAGGGTTAATCTCATGCACCATCATCCTTCAGGAAGGTTAGCTGAGCAAACATACATGAAATCAGTGCAACCAAGAAAACCATGCAACACTGGACACACTTAGCTTGACAGAGCATATCACAACATGTTTAAAAAAAGTAATAATCCCAATATATCGTATTGTGAGTCAAGTATTGTGATGATATTGTATTGTGGGGTGTCTGGTGATTCCCACCTCTACTTTTAACAGTTTTACTGAGTATTTTAACAGATAAAAGGGAAACAGAATTTTCACTTCCGTCTTGTTTAGCTTTCGAGATCAAGGATTTCCCTGGTAGTTAAACCAGAGTAGGAACTTTACTTTCAGACAAACTGACAACTTCCACAGGCTCCCCTCAGGACTGTGTTTTCTCTCTTGTGTTGTTTATTCGGTACACCAATTCCTGCACAAACACTACTACCACTTCAGTGAATCTCCTACATGATGGAAAGGAACAGCAGGGACCAGATATCGGACCATTTCATTAAATGCTGTGAGGTCAGGCCTTGTTCTCAACGCAGCAAAGATTTCAGGGGGCAACAATCATCCCAGCACACTATCACCAAACAGCTGATCCAGTCTGTGACTGAATATCAGTACCTTGGGGTTATTCTTGACCACATGTAAAGAACTTTTCAAGGAAACTTGTATCTTTCAAAGCGGGCTCTAAAATGCTCCACATGTTCTACTGTGCTTTTACTGAAAGTGTTCTGACTTTCTTAATCTTTTGTTGGGTTGGAAATCCCTCTGAGGAACACTAAAAATCTGTAAGAAAGACAGTAACAGCATGAAGTGAATTGCATTACAGAGTTAGGAACGCATTTATAGTTATGGTGTTAGATGTTAGGCAAATACTGTTGTGGGTGACGAGAGGCATCCATTTGCCTCTTCTTTTAAAGTGAAACCATCTGGGTGGCGCTATTACCCCCTGTGCTTACAAAACAAGGGCCAAACTGTAATTTATTCCTCACGGCACTTAATAGAGCATTTGTAGCAACAGATGTAGAGGGTACCAATAACAAGGTTGTTGGATCAATCCGCAGTTCATATTTTGAAATATACTGAACCCCAAGTTGTTCCCAATGCATCCATCAGGGTGTGTGTGAATGTTAAGAGTGCATAAAGTGTTTAGGTATAGATAAAAACAGGGTTTGGATGCATTTGATTGGGTGAATGAGGCTTGTAGCAGAAAGTGCTTTGAGTGCTCAAAGTGAGTGGAAAGGCACTATACAAGTACCAGTCCATTTACCAGTTCAATTTTTAAACATGGGAAACACATACGTTTCCCAGCTAGTTTGGACAAATCATCCTGTAAGGTCCAATGAAAGGGTCTTGATGTATTGTATGCTTTTATGCTGATGTGTTTGTTCTTTGTTGGTGTATGGAAATGCCACGTGGTTTCTGCATTTTCTCATCATGACAAAGGTATTTATCCATCTAGGTCTCATGTGGATAAAATGAATGTGCATATAGCCTGCATTAAGAGGTCATCATCAGGTTTTTTAATGAGATCACAGATAAACAAGAGGACCCATGTTAATTAAACAAATACAAAGGAAAAGTGTTTTAAATGAAATCTCTGATACTTTTTAGCAATTTATGGCCCAAACACAAAGCCAGTTGGTTTCCACTGTAATGCAGTAACTGCACACGATTAAGAGATAGAAAAACCCAACTATTTGCATGGCCAGAGTTCACAGATAAGCGTAAACAACAAATTGGTATACTGATTCTTTAAAGAGCAAGTAATGTGTGTATTTAGCTGCAGTTTAAGTAAAAGATTTTACTTACACACCACCCTCAAAAAACTGCATATCAGAGACTTGTGGTTTCCCAAAGTAAAAACAAAAACACCCAGTATACAGGATAAGATTGGAATATGTCGATAGTACTAAAATGAGGACATAGTTTGAATCATTCCAAATTGCATTATCAAAGTGTCCATCTAATCGATCCAGCACCTATCTGGGGGAGAAAAGAGTTACACTTAGTGGTGTAAATACATTATACTGTCTGTCATTTCACTGAGAAAAGAAAATCTAATGGTGCATCAGTGACACCCACGTTATGAATCCCAAGAATTTGCAAATGTCAATACACATTTGCGAGGTTTAACTACCATTAAGTAATAGTAGTAGTAGAAGATTTAAGTTTGAGGATTCATTTTATGCTGTAGGTTAACTCCATATTTTGGTTCCTAATGTTCAGTTTAGTGGTCTGAAGCAGGATAACAGTTGAAACAAGTCCAAGAGGTTCCTGCAGCACACAGACCTCTGGCTCACTGAAGCGAGGAAGTGTCATTTATCTCAACCCTAATAAAGATATTTGAAAACAACATGTTTTCTACTACAAATAATACCCAGCCAGTAAACACTGACGGAGATTTGTCGGTAGGAGACTTAGTTCCGGTTTAAGGTACGTAATCACAACGAGAGAAGCATACATGTCAAATGAATGAAAGCACGGAATTTAAAAGTCTTCCACTTAATCCCCGGGGTTGAACGGACCAATAACGCATTCAGTCTTGAAATGCTTCAAATCACATTAAAGCAGCCGTACGAGAGCGTTTAGTGTCAAAATAATGACACGCTGTATGCTGATTTTACTTAGCTGTCACCTGCGTGCTGACATGACGCCAAGTTAAGTTACCATTAGCAGAAGCATTACTAGCTTTGTACATAAATATGTAGAAAAATAATGCGATATGGCAGTACCATGAAAAGGCTAGGCTCCAAAAGCCAAACTGCGACCTAACTGGCTTCGGCGTGTCTGGCGAGTCAGACACACTTCCATTTATTTCCAACGGGCTAGCTAAATGCAAGCTAGCAACTGCTAGCTAGCTAGCCTGCCAGGCCTGCTGTGGACCTCCGGGCAGCAGTTACAAACTAGTACATAACACAATATGGGAGCCCGGTCCAAGTTTTCCCGAGTTCACCTGAATGAGTGTGATGACAACGAAAGCTCATGGAATTTGCATTTACCTGCTGGGATGTGAGCTCCACATGTAGGGCTCGAGAGGCTGAAGCTCCAGAGTTGGTGACAGAGGCGGCGGGGATAGCAAGAACCCGACCGGTGATGGAGTTCATCCTCCTGTCGGCATCTAGCAGCAGCCCCTCATTCAATAAAGCATCCCATCTCAGACATTCACGACACTTGGCTAAAAGTTGACGAAGTTCCGGAAAACTAACAAAGACATGCAGACACGAGTGTTTCTGTGAGGAAAGCGCTACAACAGCTGTCAGCTAACCAACAGGACGTAAACAAACTCTCGGCTATTTCGCTACGTTCGGAAATCCGTCTACGGAGAGGAGGCGCGGAACTTCAGTTGCTGATTGGCTCAAACCAATATCCGTCGCGTAAAGGCGGTGCCTGGTCGTGAAAATTCGCGTTTCTATTGGCGGTATCATCTGTTTGTCTCCCTGGAGGGGACGAGCATCCGTTGAATTCTGTCAAAGCTGCAAAATATGAGGAAGTTGTATGGTACAGCGTGACATGCAGGTGACAGTTTAAACGGTAGCACTGATCTCATAATCTCTACTGGTACAAAGACAGCCAGCGACCAAAGCATTTAAAATGTATATGCAAACTGATATGAACTTTTTTCGCTAACTTTCAAATCACAGACAGTATAATACGAATACACAAATAGAGACAGGAACTAACTGCAGAATACGCGGGTAGCTTAGGCAATGTAAAACTTAAACACACACATATTTAACATATTAGCAAATTAGTCGATGTTATATTTGTTAGGCCTCTCTTAACGTTGCATGCCAATTTAGATTCTGGTCTTGTGTTTTGCGTGTAACTCAGTAGTGTAAAGTTGAAATTCATCTTTAAGTACGATGACTTCTAAATCCACCACCTACATGTGAGCAGCACAGTCAGTTATTTCAGCTTCATTCACACTGACTGCAGAACATTAAGCAACCACTAGGGGGCTGTATCAGCCACATTAAATAGTTGCGCTTCTACAGGGCCAGGAGACTGAAGGCTGCAGTCAGATAACGACCAAAAGTAGCTCCTATCTATCCACGTTGTCACCTTGACAAAAAACGTTAAAATGTAAAAGAACTTATGGAAAATAAAAATGGACGTTCTCGATGGACTAGTCATACACTTGATGTGTTCTTATTGGTTTTTTAATAATGTTGAAGATGTTTTAATAAAGTCATATAAAAGAGAACCAGTAGCAAATAATAATAATAATAATAATTAACAAGGTTGTAATTCAGATAAATAGGAATACAAGGCATATAAAGTGAAATAATTGCGTTTTGCACTGAGATGTGTTGCTCCTGTCATATTTTTTTTCCAGCTGATAAAAGGAGCCAGAGTACTTCCTGTCTTTATTAAGGCTTTCTGAGACTAAAGTCAAATTAACTAATGACCGCACTAAAAAAAAAAAGGCCATAAGAACAAGTATAACTAACAGAAACTGAATAATGGAAAACCTTAAATGAACTTTGCGCACAGGCTTTATTCCTCAAACATTTTCAGTTTCACTTCTGAAAACAAGGCAACGACTCCATAAGCAGTAGATACAATGTTTATCATTCCGTTGTAGGTTTAACAATTTCAAAACATGACATACACAAGAGTGTATATGGTTAGTGCATAAAATGGAAAACATACAATTAACATTTACACGGTCACTTTTCATGTTGATTGTTTTTAAATGGGGTGGAATAATCCTCAAAAATATTCAGTTCAGTTTTATTTGCATAGCACCAGCAGATGTGGAAGCTAAAGTTTAAAATGGTCCCAGTGGTAATTAGCAGCAGTAGGAGCTGTAACCCTGAAATTGGAAGAGTGGCTCCAGAAAACTCCAGGTATAACATCAGAGGTGTCGGTCCAGAGGAACAGACAAAGTACGGCACAGAGCCCTGAACTCCCAGGTCTCTGAGAACGCGAGCTTGAGGATCACATCTATATCACCTGCAGGGAGGGATGAAAGGGAGGTTTTCCTCCCATAGAGGTAAATTGTGGTTTCAGAGGTATACTGTATGGCCCAGCTGGACTTTGAAAGTTTTTGCTGATAAGAGAATTGTGGATAATATTAAATACTCTCCAGCCAAATACTGTTCAAAACAAAGCATATATTTGGTGGGCGTGCTCCCCACACAGCACATACATAAGACTCAGATTTAGTAAAACATTGACATAAATGTGGGAAAGACTTCAAAGACACACCACACTTTTTTTCTGAAAACTTACAAAAGTTTAATTTAAACATCAGCAGAAAGATTATGCAACTCATCACACAGACAAGTCTCGCTGCTTATTGCTTGCAAATCCATTGCACAGGTATCACACTGCTCCATAGTAGTCGTCACAATGCTCAAACCAGTGAAAATTGCATCTGTAAATTCAGCCAATTCTGTTACACTTTATTCCCATCGACATGACGCACGCTTGCTTATTTTAAATGATTCCCCTGAAAGATTTTTTATAAAACTCACTGTAAACTGGAATCATCAAACATCAGGATTCCATCCATCCATCTTCACCCGCAAACATCAGGATTTTCACCCACAAAACCATTTTATCCTTTTCAACTACAGCTCAAAACCTTCCAAGACACTTAAGTTACAAGAAATCACGTAGTTTACACTGCATACATTAAATGTATCCACCCAGATAGAAACCCTGTCACCAGTATGAACATAAAAAAGAAAAAGAAGTAAGCCAAGCAGAGCAGTGCCTGTCTTGGGGGGGGGGAAAAAAAATCTTTGAGACTAAAACCTCAGAGGGTGATGTAAAACATCAAAAGTGCACCAGAAATATTTGTTGAGACAAATGCACTAAAATAGGCATTTCCTTGCTACAGAATTCAATTAACACTGTAAGGCTTTTCTACAGTCTTATGCGTTTGTGCATTCACCATACCTGGTAGAATTCCTTCACTTTCGGCCTTTAACCAGCAGGAATCACCACATGTCTGTGGACATCATATGTCTTTGGCTCGATTAATCTTTGGGCACTACCCAGTGATAAAGTGGTACCTTTCATTTGCATTGTTTGTGCGTTCAGCGTGTAGAGTTGTAAAGGAGCTCAGGAAGAAGTCCTGCAAGTTACCTTCTGGCTCCATCTAGTGGAGCTTAGCGACCACTGCCTGAAAGAAGCAGTTAAAACGTGACGCCCAAGTTTTAAAAGAAAACTG